ATAAAAATGACATGGTTTCCATAGCTGGTGTGCAGACACCAACTGAAGCTCGTGTTGTCTTAGCCCAGAACCCAAAACATTCTGAGCTCTTAAATTTGTTTTCTCTTGGGAATCTGAGGAGAAAGGGAGGGATGGGATTTGAGGAGCTGCATTTTTCCAGCTTGCCAAGGTCTCTAACTCAGGCTCTGTGACAGAAATGCTCCACAGTTTGGACATTCAGCTTTAGGGAAAAGCGATTTCTGAAAGCAATTTGATCAACCAAGGCATTTCTTCCTCAATCTCCAGGTTTTATAAAGCAAAAGAAACTTCAAATCTCTCCCCCTGCCCCAGGTAGCAACTGTTGAAGTGTTTTAGGATTTAGCCAAGTTGAAGACACCCATTAAAGACATTAAATTAGAACACTGGTTCATTAAATGGATCCATTTAAATATTTAAATGGATAAATGTTTGCTGCTCAGAGTTGATTTTCTGCTCTGTTGCCTTCCAGACCAGCCCTGTGATGGCAATAAAAGGCACTCCCACTCTCTGTGCTGTTTGCAGCCTGCAGCTTCCTGAAGATCCGCTTTTCCCACCCGAACATTCCCTTCCCAAACCTCTCCTCAGCCCCAAATTTCCCCCCATTTATCTCGGGAATCGAGGGATCAGCTGCAGCGGCACCGATTCATCTCAGCTGCCTCCATCAGCTCGGGAAAGTTTGTGCGCCCCAAATCCTGGCTGCGTTTGTGGAATCCACAATTCCAGGCAGGATCTGCCTCCGGGACATCCTCTGGCGGTGGTGCCGGCAGATGGCAGAGGTGAAACCTTCCCTGAGCGCTTCAGCTGCTGGAAAAATCTGGGAACATCCCTTTTTTAACCCCTGGCTGCTCGAAGGTGACGTTTTAAGGACAGGGAAATTCCAGGCTCTGCTTTCCACTCCGGGAACCGAACGTGTCCGGAGCGAACCCGAAATTTGAGGAGAAAACAGCCCCGATGGGAGAACAGAGACGGGAAAACGCCGCCAGGAATCCGCAGCCCAGCTCCCTGTCTGTCCCTTCATCCTCAGGAGTGCTCCTGCTCCATAATCCCGGCAGGAGGAGGGAGCAGAGCCCGGCCCTTTGTGTGTCCCCGTCCCGCCGTGTCCCGGCTCAGTCCCGGCCAGGAGCAGCCAGAAATTCCAGCCGGGCACAAGGGGAGCCTTTATGAGAGCTCAGCCGGGGGAAAAGGGAGCTCTTTGATTCCCTGGAATGTCAGCCCGGCGCTGCTGCTGCTGCTGAATTATTGATGGCTTTATTAATTGTCATTAACTGCTGGGCCCTGGCACTCCCAGCCCCTTGGAAGGGACACTAAAGCCCATCCAGTGCCAAAGCCCATCCAGTGCCAGCCCTGCCACCTCCCACTGTCCCAGGGTGCTCCAAGCCCTGTCCAGGCTGGCCTGGGACACCTCGGGGATGGGACATCCATCCCTGGTGGCAGATTTGTGCCACATTTCCATCACACAGGACTTTCCTTCCCAAGGGGGTGAAGCCAATCCCACTTCCCTGCCCAGTCTGGGGTCAGCTGGGAAATGCCCCCAGCCCTGCTCCCTCCTTTTGCAGCTCAAACACTGACAGGATCCAGCTCCAGACCGGTGGGGACTTGACAAAAGGTGATTTTTTTCCTTTTACTGCCAAATTTTAACAGCTGCAGTGGAGAGTGGTAAAAGCCAGGACCAGGAGCAAATCCCCCTGGCAGGGTGGCAGGGCTGGGTGCTGGATGAGGCGTGGATGGGCACTGTCCCAAGGGGGTGCCAGCTGGGGACTTGACAAAAGGTGATTTTTTTTTCCTTTTCACTGCCAAATTTCAACAGCTGCAGTGGAGAGTGGTAAAAGCCAGGGCCAGGAGCAAATCCCCCATGGCAGGGCTGGGTGCTGGATGAGGTGTGGATGGGCACCGTCCCTGCCCTCTGTGCCCCCCTGGCTCCCTGCCACCCCTCTCCTGCCCTGCTTCCCTTTTCCCACCTTCCAGCCTGGGGCTGGGCCCTGCAGGAAAGGATTTCTGTGCAGGGCTGGCAGCTCTGGGAGGCCTGGGAGTCAGAGGAAAGGATCGCTCCTGGTTTCACACTCAGCTGAGTTTCCATTCCACGCATTCCTCTTTGCTCACTCTGCCCCCATCCCTGCAGATGTCGGCTGCACGCACGGCCCGAGGGAGGGGAGGTTATTGAGAACGCGATTTGTGCCTGTAGAAATTCCTCCCGGAATATTTCAGGCTCCTGATTCCCGGCTATATTTGGTGCTGGAGAGAGGCAGCAGCGTTTCCTCACCTCGGGGGCTCGGCGGGAGGGATCGCCCGGGCGGCTCCAGGAACGCCCCGAGGTGAAATCCCCAGCCTGGAGTTTCCCTCGGGAGTTTTACTGGCAGGAAATTGCGGCGTGGAGCACTCAGCTGGCAACACCGACCACATCCAGCATTCCCAGGCTCTGAAATCTCATTTTTCTCTCTCCTGAAAGTCACAGCTGCCCATTCCAGCATTTCCTGGCCCCCTGCTCTCCCTGGATCCCCTTCTCTCACCCTTCTCTTCTGTGGTGCTTCCAGGCAGAGCTGAAGGGGCACAAAGTTTTCCCCATTATGGATATTTCAGGTGTTTATTGTTTGAAAAAAATACAAAACTCTGTGAGACACCAGGAATGTGAAAATTTTGCCTTTGAGGAGGGGAAACTTTCAGTCACTGCCCGTTAGTGGTGGTGGGAGGGCAGGGATGGATGCAGGGCTTCAAAAAAGGACAGGAAAAATCCTCCTGATGCCCCAAACACCTCCCCAGGCTGGGGGGGAAATGAAGCTCTGAAATGTTCTTTCCATCCCACAGAAATTTCCATCGTGTTAAAAACGTTCCTTTTCCCATCCAAGGCCTCTGGAGCTTCCCCAAACACCAGAGAGGGACCCGAGTGAGGGGTGGGGAGGGGACAGGCTGCTGGGGACCCCTCCCCAGGGACAGCCGCTGGTGCTGGGGCACACAGAGGAGCCTCAGGCTGGATTTCCATCTCCGGCATTCCCGGGAATCCCTGGATCCCTCTGCACTGCCGGGGTTTGTCCCTGGAGCCGCTTCCCCCATCCCTGCAGTGACACCAGAGCCATCGTCCCTCTCCTGTGTCATTCCTCTTTATTCCTCTTTATTCCTCTTTATTCCACTCCCTGGACATCGCTCATCAAAAAGAGAAGCCACTTCCTAAAATGAAGCCCAGATGAGCGGCCTCGGGCCGAGGGGACGCGACACAAGGAGGGGACAGGACCCTTCCCATGCCCCTGGGGACACCGCGTGCGTCACCGGGAGCGTCCCGGGTCCTGGCAGGGGAAGGACACGGGTCCCGGCAGGGGAAGGACACGGGTCCTGACAGCGTGATTAGCCGGGTCCCGGCAGCGGGACAGCCCCTCGGAGCCCCCTCCCGTGTCCCCCCATTCCCGCCCCCGGCTCCGTGAGCGCTCCGCGCCGGGCTCGCAGGGGTTAACGCTGTTCCAGAAGGCTCCGAGGGCCGCGCACAGGGCGGAGGCTGCGGGAGAGAAGGAGAGAGGAGAGACCGGTGTGAGCCGGGCCTGGAGCTGCGGGAGAACAGGGGAGGGATGGAGGGATGGAGGGATGGAGGGATGGATGGATGGATGGATGGATGGATGGATGGATGGATGGATGGATGGATGGATGATGGATGGAGCAGCTCCGTGCGGGAACAGCCGCCCCCGGCCCCGGGAGCCTCCTGTGGCTCCTTAGGATGACGCAGCCGGGATCCCGCCCGGTTTCTCCCGGAGCTGCTCCATTTCTCCCCCGCTCGGGAGCAAAAGCCACCGGGCCGCGCTGCAGGAGCGGCTTTGCCAAGCGGGCTGATGGAGAACCGGGCAGGAAAAGCCCGGCAGGGAGAACCGGGCAGGGAGAACCGGGCAGGAAAAACCCGGCAGGGAGAACAGGGCAGGGAGAACCGGGCAGGGAGAAGCGGGCAGGGAAAACCCGGCAGGAAAAACCCGGCAGGGAGAAGCGGGCAGGGAGGACCCGGCAGCAGCTGCGCAGCGCCCGGGGCTGAGCGGCCCGCGTTGGAAAATCACCCCCGGGCCCCCTTCCAGCCCAGGCGGTCAAATCCAACAGCACCGACCCCCAAACTGCCCCGTGTCCCCCCTCCCGGCACAATCCACCCCTGGAGGGGCTCGGAGCTCACCCGGCCGCCGCTGGGCTGGCGAGGCCGCTGCTGAGCCGCATCTTCGGCGGCTCTTCAGAGCATGTAAATGATGTAGGACAGGACCACCAGGCCGATGATGGCGAAGAACATCAGGATGAAAATGTCCAGCATGGTGCGGGAGGAGGCGGCGGGGCCGGGGCTGCGGGCTCCGGGCAGCGCTGCCGGGCAGAGCCGCCCCCGCGCCCTCCCCTCCCCGCTCGCTCAGGATGCAGAGCCGATGCCGGAGCTGATGGAGCCGCTCTCCTGCGGGAGATAAAGGGATGAACCCCCGGCTCAGCCCAGCCCCGGCCTCTGTCCCCGCGGGGGTTGTTCTGTCCCTTCCTTCTGTTCCGTTCCATCCTTCCCAAAGCGCTCCCCATTTCAGGGGGGGCCCACGGGGATGTGCCCCCAGCTGGGAACGCGCCCATCCTTTGGGGAAAAGGGGGAAAAGGGGAAAATGAGCGCGGTCCCCAGCCTGAAGTCACCTTGGTGATGCTCCGGGGCTGCCCCAGCGCCGCCCTTTGCTTCCCCGGCACCGCCGCTTTGTTTTCCTCGCTGTTTTTATGTTGATAAACAACACCCGTCCCTGCACACAGCCAGGTGTTTATTAAACCCCTCTGGAAACCCCACCTGCATTCCCAGGGCTCCAGGAAAGCTCTCGGCTGAGGCGGGGCTCCCAAACACCTCCCTGGGCTGTCCAAAAACAGGGGATGAGCCCAGGAGCTGCAGCCCAGGAGGATCCCAGCGTGTCCCGGGCTCGGGGGAGATGAAAACCCCAGCTCTGGAAGCCTCCCCCTGTCCCAGCCAAGCAGGAAAAGCGGCCACAAGCAGAGCCAGCACAATCAGCAGGTAAAAATTAAACTTTTATTTTCAATCCGAGTAAAACCGGCAAGAGAATTGGTCGGGTTGTTCCATTCCGTGGGTTTTCTTTTTTTAGATAAAAAGGCCAAATAACTTCGAATTTATTTTTTTTTTAGTGGTGGGTGCTCAACCCAGGAAGGAGGACACAAGGACAAAACCCCAATTAAGCGACGGATCCCGAGGAAAACACGTTCTAAGCTCAGCACTGAGACACGACCAGGGAAGCTGGGATGGATGAGGTCTATTTTACACGTGATGAGAAGCAATTATTCAGCTTTTTAATGGTTCTTCTTCCTTGTAATTTCTTTTTTTTTTTTTTTTTACTCTTTTATTTATTTATTTATTTTAAATACAGGTTTAGGTGCTTTTCAGCTATGAAAAAAAAAGGCAAAAAAGTGCATAAAGTTGAGAGAAAAGGCAGAAATCAAGCAGTAAGAGGTTTGTTTCCCTTGGTGAGGGTGAAAAGGGGCATGGGAGAGGAGAATTTAGGGACAACAGTTTCGAGGGAGGATTAAAAAAAGATCTGTATCCCAAAAGGGAATTTCCTGTGTTATTTGGTCCATTAAAAAAGGGTTTATTCACATTGATGCTCCCCCCCGCAATTCCCAGACCAGAACGTGATTAAGAAGAGGATTCAGCAGGGAGAGGAGGCTCCCCCTGCCCTTGTGCTCCCTGTTTTAGCACCAGCCGGGATTCCCACCCCGGGCAGCCCGTCCTGGCTGCTCCTGCCCCGGTGTCACCCCAGATCCCTGTCCCCATCCCTCTGCAGCCGGAATTCCCTTTTCCCGGAGGGTTTCTGCCCCAAATCCCAGCCCCCGGGGGAGGGAGGTGTCCCCAGCAGCACAAGGAATGTCTCACTCGGCCGCTTTGGTCCCGCATTCCCGATTTTCCTGTGGAATAACAAAGGCGGCGCTGCCCCCTGGGAGCCTCCCGGCCCCACGGGGACGCTCCTGCTGTCCCCAGGTCCTGGCACGGGGACATCCCGCTGTCCCAGAGGTTCCCACTCCTCCCTCCCTGCTCATTTCCAGTTTTACCTGACCCTGATCCTCCCCAGGACCTCCTGAGCCCAGAGGAGAAGGGGACAGGGACGTGGTTTGGTCCGTGACTCGATCCCAAAGTGGTCCCAAAAAGCTGCCACCAGCGCTGGGAATGAGAGGTGTGGGGTGGCCCGGGGTGTCACAGCACCCAGGGGACAGTGCCCCGGGATGGGCCCAGAGGGGTGGCAGCACTCAGCAGCAGGAGAAAGGCAGGAAAATTCTGGGTGGGGGGAAAGGCTCCCCCAGGGGACCCCCAGAGCGAGCAGGAGCTCCAGGGGACTCATCCCAGTCTGGGGGACTCACCCCAGTCTGGGGGGCTCATCCCAGTCTGGGGGGCTCATCCCTGTCCGGGGGGATTCATCCCAATTTGGGGGGCTCATCCCAGTCTGGGGGGATTCATCCCAGTCTGGGGGGATTCATCCCAGTCTGGGGGGCTCACTCCAGTCCAGGAGGATTCATCCCTGCACCAGGGGGTTCATCCCAGTCTGGAGAGTTTATCCCAATCTCGGGGGCTCATCCCAGCTCCAGGGGGACTCATCCCAATTTGGGGGGCTCACCCCAGCTCCAGGGGGCTCATCCCATCCCAGCCCTGGGCAGGAGCAGCCAGAGCCTCCTGCAGGGCTGCCCAGAGCTCGGAACCCCGAGCAGAGAGGTTTTGCTGGAGGTTTGAGCTGAAAACTTCCCTGCTCTGGGCACTGCAGGGAGCAAGGATCGAGGGCAGCAGCCCAGGGCAGCAGGAGCTGAGCAGGGGGAGCCCACCCCGAGCCCGGGGCACCCCTGGCCGAGCCCCCCTCGCCTCTCCCACCCCCCAGCAGGAATTTGGTCCTGACTTGGCCTCTCCCTCCCTTTCCTGACACCCCGGGGGCTCCAGAGGAGGGCAGGACAGGAGGGACAGCAGGGACAGGAGCAGGAGCCCCTGGGGCTTTGATCCCCACCCCACAGTGCCCCACAGCCCCCACGGGGCAGAAGTGGCGAGAGACACCGCGCCCAGAGGGGACACGGGGACACGGCTCCGAGGGCGGGGAGGGGACAAGAGACGCGCACACGGGGAGGGGACACGGGGCAGGGCGGCGTCCCCGGGCTCAGATGGCCTCCACGTAGTTGGCAGGGAGCATGCCCGTGTCCCCCGTGCGCTCCACCGTGCCGTACATCCAGCCGTCGTCGATCTGCTGCACGTTGATGATGGTGTCCCCGTCCTGGAAGGACACCTCGTCCTCGTCTGCCGCGTTGTAGTCATAGACGGCACGGAAACGCTTCTGTGGGGACACGGGGACACGGTCACGGCCCCAGGGGGCATGGAGGGGACATGGAACAGCCCCAGGGGACAAGGAACAGCCCCGGGGGACACGGGGTCACTGTCACAGCCCGGGGGGACAAGGAACAGCCCCAGGGGACAAGGAACAGCCCCAGGGGACACGGGGTCATTGTCACAGCCCGGGGGGACATGGAACAGCCCCAGGGGACAAGGAACAGCCCCAGGGGACACGGGGACATTGTCACAGCCCGGGGGGACATGGAACAGCCCCAGGGGACAAGGAACAGCCCCAGGGGACACGGGGACATTGTCACAGCCCCAGGGGGCATGGAGGGGACATGGAACAGCCCCAGGGGACAAGGAACAGCCCCAGGGGACAAGGAACAGCCCCAGGGGACACGGGGTCATTGTCACAGCCTGGGGGGACAAGGAACAGCCCCAGGGGACAAGGAACAGCCCCAGGGGACACGGGGTCATTGTCACAGCCCAAGGGGGACATCGTCACAGCCCCAGGGGACACGGGGTCACTGTCACAGTCCCAGGGCACATGGAAAAGCCCCAGGGGACATGGTCACAGCCCCAGGGGACATTGGGGTGGGTCACTGTCACAGCCCCAGGGGACACGGGGGTGGGTCACTGTCACAGCCCCAGGGGACATGGGGGTGGGTCATTGTCACAGGCCCACGAGACACGGAATGGGGGGGCTGAGGGAGCACAGGGACCCCCAGGGTGGGAATGGGGGCTGGGCTGGACTCACCCCCCCTCCGGCCGGGGCGTTGCGCTGTGAGGAGGCCGGGGCTGGCTCCTTGTAGCCGTAGGACTGGGATGGAGGCGGCTGCTGCTGCTGGTAAACTGGGGAGAGAATGGGGAGTGAACTGGGATGGGGAGTGAACTGGGATGGGGAGGGAATGGGAACCCTGCACTGGGATGGGGAGGGAAAGGTGGATCCTGAACTGGGATTTGGGTGGACCCTGCACTGGGATTTGGGTGGATCCACGGACTGGGATTTGAGTGGATCCATGGACTGGGATTTGGGCAGATCCATGCACTGGGATTTGAGTGGATCCACAAACTGGGATGTGGCTGGATTTATGAACTGGGATTTGAGTGGATCCATGAACTGGGATCTGAGTGGATCCATGAACTGGGATTTGAGCGGATCCATGAACTGGGATTTCGGTAGACCCTGCACTGGGATTTGGGTGGATCCTGCACTGGGATTTGGGTGGATCCACAGACTGGGATTTGGGCGGATCCATGCACTGGGATTTTGGGCAGGTCCTGCACTGGGATTTTGGGCTGTGGGGCATGCAGAGGAGCCCTGGGGCTGTCCCCACCCACCCGTGGCTCCGGGCTGGCCGTGGTGCTGCTGCTGCTGCTGCTCTGCTCTCCGGTAGCCGCCGCTCTCCTGGGAATTCCGGCGCTCCGGCTCCGAGCCCTCGCTGGGGCTGGGGCCCATCCGGCTCCTCTCGAACTCCTCGTGGTACTTGATCTGCAGGGAGGGGGGGGACAGCTCAGAGCTCGGCCCTGCTGCAGCAGCTGCTCCCAGGGAAGAGGGGCTGGGACAAGGAAACGGCCTCGGGGCAGGTTCGGGTTGGGAATTTGGGAGAATTCCTTCAGAAAAGGGAGTCATGGTCCCCAGAAGGGTTAAAAGCCCACTTGGGTTGCTGGTGAGGCAGAGCTGGGTTAATGCTGGGCTATCCCAGCCTGAGGGATTCTGGATCCTTCCCCTCATCCCAGCAAATCCCAGGGGCTCCTTCCCCACCCCCCAGCACGAGGACATCTGCTCGGAGCAGCTCCAGGCACAGGGACAGGAGGAGCTTCCCACGAGGAATTGTTTCAGGGTGAGATTCAGCCCCAGATGCACCTCCCAAACCAAGGGGAAACAGAGCAAAATCCCCTTCAGGAATTCTGGTGTGCAGCCCCCAGTGCCAGAGGGACACAGGAGGGAAGGGTTAACCCAGCCGTGAGGGCGTGAGGGTGAAAATTACCAATTAACTCATTGCTGTTAACGAGTGCATTCCCACCGGGAAGCAGCTGGAGCCTGGGAATGTGCCCTGGTTAAACAGTGATGGACTGGAGGGCACTGGGGCTGGGCATGGGCACGGCTGGGACACCCCAGGGACAGGGACAGGCTCAGGATCAGCCCTAGGACAGATCTGGGAACAGGGACAGCCTCGGGATCAGGGACAGGAACAGCCTCGGGAAAAACAGGTTCAGGGTCAGAAATAGCCCCAGGAGCAGCTCCAGGAAGAGGCCCAGGACAGGTTCAGGAGCAGGGTCAGTCCCAGGAGCAAGGACGGGAACAAGGACAGGAGCAGGGACAGCCTCAGCAACAGCCCTAGGGGCAGGAACAGCCCCACGAACAAAGGCAGCCCCAAGAACAGCCCCAGAACAGCCCGAGGAGCAGGGACAGCCTTGGGAACAGCCCCAGAAGAGCCCCAGAACAGGTTCAGGATTGGGGACAGCCTCAGGAACAGCCCCAGGATGGGCTCAAGGACAGGAACAGCCCCAAAACAGCCCCAGGACAGATTCAGGATCAGATATAGCCCCAGGAACAGCCCCAGGAGCAGGGACATCCTTGGGAACAGCCCCAGAAGAGCCCCAGGACAGACTCAGGATCAGGGACAGCCTCAGGAACAGCCTCAGAGCAGCCCCAGGACCAGCTCCAGGAGCAGGAGCAGCCCCAGAATGGACTCAGGGACAGCCCCAGGATGGGCTCAGGCCATGCCCAGCCCCATTCCCAGGGTTTTCCCCACCCCGAGGCCGTTTTGGGGCACGGCCAGGCTGGCCCCACCTCCCCTGGCCCCGTTCCTGCCCCTGGCACGGGAGGGCCCGGCGGGGCCAGCCTGGTGGCTGTGTCTCTCCTAAGTGGGTCACGGCCACCCCAGGCTGGCAGCCAGGCACGGGAGGCTGCTGGAAATGCTGGCAGAGGGTGAGGGGCTGGGCTCAGCCACCAGGGCTGGGCTCCAGACAGCTCTCTGCTGTCATTTCATGGCCCCAAACCCCCTGGCTCTGCCCCAAACCCAGCTCCACTGCGGGGGAGCTGCCCCCAGGGAAAATCTTCCAGCTTGGAGCCCATTCCCTGCCTGGGGTTTGGTGAATCCATCACATCCTGGGGGTGCTGCACGACGGGAGCAGAAAAAGAGGGAATAAAAATCCTCCTGGGTTTTTGTGTGAGCTCCTGCCGTGGCAGCACCTCCCTGCCCTCCAAACCCCCTCCCCTGGCACCACCTCCCTGCCCTCCAAACCCCTTCCTGGGCTCCAGGAGCAGCCAGCAGCTCCCAGGCAGGCTCTGTGTCCCCAGGGCAGGGAGTCTTGGGGATGGAAAAGCAGGAGCAGCTCAGGCACCAATCAAGAGGTCAGGATTTTAACCTAATCATTGTAGTAAACATCACTAGTCTCCCTAAAATGACTATTAAATAATTAATAGGCTCCCTAAAATAACTATTAAGTAATTAATAATCTCCCTAAAATGACTATTAAGCCTCCCTAAAATTACCATAAATGCTTGATTTCTACAAGTGTTTGCATCCCACAATAAAATCGGATTCTGGGCACTGAATCAGCCTCCCCTGCCTTCCTCCCAGAGGATGGTTGGTGCAGGCCTGCAGGGATCTGTGTCCCCGGGCTGTCTGTCAGCAGCTGCCCCCTCCCCGCTGCCCCTGGAGGTCACAGCGGTGTCACAGCGGTGTCACAGCCCGCAGGAGAGGCCACTCACGTTGCTGATCTGATCCTGAGTCTTCTTGATCCTCTGCAGCTCCGGGGTGTCGGCCACCACGCTGAAGCCCTTGCCCTTGTTCTTCTCGAACTCCTCCTTGTAGCGGATCTGGGGGTGGGACAGGAAAGGGGTTGGGACAGGGCAGAGCTGGGACAGGGCAGAGCTGGGACAGGGCAGGGGCTGGGACAGGGCAGCCCTGACTGGGACCCACGGCTTCCCCAGGGCAGCAGCTCCTGCCAGGGCTCCTGCCTCGCCCAGGGGCACCCCCTGAGCATCCCTGTTTATCCCTGAGCATCCCTCAGCATTTCCATAGATCCCTGAGCATCTCTGTTTATCCCTAAGCATCCCTGCACATCCCCATACATCCCTGAGCATCCCAGTGAATCCCTGAGCATCCCTGAACATCTCTGTTCATCCCTGAGCATCCCCATACATCCCTGAGCACTCCTGTTCATCCCTGAGCATCCCTGCACATCCCCAGTGCATCCCTGAACATTTCTGAGCATCCCAGTGCATCCCCATACATCCCTGCACATCTCTGAGCATTCCTGTTCATCCCTGAGCATCCCACTGTATCCCTGAACATTCCTGAGCATCCCTGAAAATCCCTAAACATTCCTGAGCATCCCTTAACATCCTTGAGCCTCCCTGAACATCCCTTAACATCCCCGAGCCTCTCTCAACATCCCTGCACATCCCTGAGCCTCCGGGCAGGGCTGGGACAGGGCAGCCCTGACTGGGACCCACGGCTTCCCCAGGGCAGCAGCTCCTGCCAGGGCTCCTGCCTCGCCCAGGGGCACCCCCTGAGCATCCCTGTTTATCCCTGAGCATCCCTCAGCATCCCCATACAACCCTGAACATCCCTGAGCATCCCTGCACACCCCCAGTGCATCCCTGAACATTTCTGAGCATCCCAGTGCATCCCCATACATCCCTGCACATCTCTGAGCATTCCTGTTCATCCCTGAGCATCCCACTGTATCCCTAAACATTCCTGAGCATCCCTTAACATCCTTGAGCCTCCCTGAACATCCCTTAACATCCCCGAGCCTCTCTCAACATCCCTGCACATCCCTGAGCCTCCCTGCACATCCTTGTCCATCCCTGAGCCTCCCCGAACATCCCTGAGCCTCCCTGCACATCCTTGTCCATCCCAGAGGCTCCCCAGGGATGGCAAACAGGGGTTTCCAGGAGCTCCCACACCAAACCATTCCCCTGAGGTCCCGTTCCTCTTCGGGCAGGAAGGGTCTCCCCTCTCTCTCTGGGGTCACCCAGCTTTGGTTTCAGTTTCCTGTGGGGCACCCAGCTCAGAGCAGCTGCTCAGTGACCTGCAGCCCTGCAAGGGCACCTCCAGCCACCCCTGGGAGGGTGACAGAGCTGGTGACACTGGGACAGGCTCAGGAGGGGCTGGGGGAGCTGCTCTGGAGCCACCAGCCCCAGTTTGCCCAGTTGGGCTGTGGTTTGCCCTCCATCCCTGATGCTTTCCATGAAGGATGCTTCCCTCTGGAGTGCGGGATGCTGTCCCCACGCTGCCCAGGACAGGGGACAGGGCACCCACAGAGCTGCTGAGCTGGGAGAATTGCAGGCTGGAAAGACAAGGAATCACTGAGCAAGAAGCCAGTCCCACGGGAGGGCAGATCCTCTGATAAATCCTGTATTTTTACCCTAAAATCCCACCCTGCTCCATCTCCCTTGGTTTTTCACCCTGCTGATGTTCAGGACACAGGAATTCAGCCCTAAAAAACCCCCTGGCAGCACCCCCATGATGATGATGAGGATGATAATAATTTAACAAATTAATTAACCCCACAATTAATTTTCCCGTGGGGGAGCTGCTCCCTCCATGTCGTGACTCTGAATGCATCCATGAATTATCCAAAGGGAGCCAGAAAAAAAACCCTTAATGCATCCAACCCTCCCCTTTTTGTCACCAGCACCGAGGTGACACTGCTCCCAGAAGGGCTGGCACAGCAGGACAGGAGTGGCACTGCCACCCCCACACGGGACCTCGGGCAGGAAGGGCCGTGCCCAAATTCCCCCCCAGGAAAGGCTCAGAAAAGGAGCCCCAGGATGGGAACCTGCAATTTCCCTGCCACACGTGGGCTGGGAAAAGCAGCCTGTGGGCACCAGGGTGCCACTTTGGGGACACTTTTGGCCTCACAGGACACGATTACCCAGCAGCTTCCCGTGAGCGGAACGGGAGGCGCCTCCTCGGGGACACAAATAGAGGGGACAGAGGAGTGACAAGGGACTGCTGTGGCCTGGCCCTGCCACCCACCCTGCCCCTGGCACCCTGCAGGTGCCCAGTGTCCCATCCCTGACTCCCTGTCCCTGTCACCCATCCCTGTCACCCATCCTTGCAGCTCCTTGTCCTTGTCACCCCATCCTTGTCACCCCACCCTTGCAGGTGCCCAGTGTCCCATCCCTGTCACCCCATCCCTGTGGGTGTCCAGGACCCTGTCCCTGCCACCCCAGTGTCCCTGAGCCTGGCAGGCCCCAGGAGCTGGGCACATCTGGCACAGGGGACAGGGCTGAGCTCTGGTGACCAATTCAGGGAAGAAGAGCCCCCGTCCCTTCAGGACTGTCCCCCCCAGGCTCAGGAGAGCCCAGGCAGAGCTCAACCCCCTCCCCTGGCTCTGCTTTCATCAACAACAACCCAGAAAAGCCTGGAGACTCCAGCAGCAGCAGCAGCAGCTCCGTGGTTGCCATGGAAAAGCCACGGTGTCCCCTTGTCCCTGTCATCCCCCTGTCCCTGTCATCGCTGCGTGGACACAAATCCAGCCCCAGGCTGAGTCTGAGCCAGGGATCTGCTGGGCTGCTCCCAGGGGGAAGGGCTGGGAGAAAAGCTGAGCTTTGGGGACAAAAGCTGAGCTTTGGGGACCGCAGAGTGGCCCTGGGGGGTCCCCCATCCTCCCCCTCCTCCTGGATGCATTTCAGCTCCCCAGCTCCTGCGCTCTCAGGCTGATGGGAGGAGGAGGAAGGCGAGAGCATCCCCTGGGGCAGGGCAGGCAGGGATGTGATGCCAAGGCTCACCTGGCTCTGGAGCTCACTCTGCTGCTTTAGGCGCAGGTTCTCGGGCGTGTCTGCCACCATGGTGAAGGATTGCTTCGGGTAGTGTCTGCCGAGGCAAGGACAGGGTTAATGTCACTGTCCCTGCCCTGTTAATGCCACCACCCCTGTCCCCAGCACAGCAGAGCAACTCCCACCACGGAATCCTGGAGGCATTCAGGCTGGAAAAGCCCTCCAGGATCATCGAGCCCAACAGTGTCACCCCAAATCTGTGTCCCCAAGGGCCACACCCGAGTGTTGAGAACGTTCCAGGGGTTTTGTCCCTCTCCAGAGGAGCCAGAGATGGGGACACAGCCCCAGAGGGCTTGGCAGCTGCCATGTGGGATTGCCCAGACAATGGGGTTTCTCCAACAATGGGGTTTCTCCCTGTGCACTCTCCCCCAGCCAACACTTTTCCCCCTGGGCTCTCTCCCAGTGTCACATTTATCACAAAAGAGCAAAAGCAGTGTTTTTCCCTCGGGGACAAAGCCATTCCAGGCCTGTGCAGGATTTCAGGACAGACCTTTCCCTGTCCCCAAACAGCCCCCAGGGCCCTGTTAGCCCAGGAAGAGCTGCTGGCTCTGCTCCCAGTGCCTCTGCTGGGTCCAGGCTGAGCCTGAGCTCTCCCTGCAGAGCTTCCAGCCACAGCAGCCCCACACTGGGGATTCCTGGTGCTGCACAACGTCCCAATCCTGGCACAAACCACGGGGACAACGCACAGGAACGGGGTCAGGAACTCGGAAAGAGACTCAGGGAGGAGGAAGGAAATATCCAGTGCTGCAGCTGGAGGCTGCTGGCAGCCCTGGCCCAGCCTCCCGTGGCCATTCCCACCTTGGAATGACACAGAAAAGAGCAGGGATGGAATCCCTGGGTAACAGGGAGTGCTCAAGAGGGTCAGGATGTGGCAGTTTCAGCTGGATTTGGGGTCTCTCAGCTGCCCAGAAGGGGAAGAGTCGGTCCCAGCTGTGGAACTTCACACCCAGGCCCTGCATCCCCGAGGATGCTCCCACTGGATCCAGTCCCACAGCTCTGCCTGGAGCAAGAGGAGCATTTCCAGCCTGGCAGAGACCTCCACACCCCAGAATTCCCAGGAAAAGCCCTGGAAGGAAACCTGACCTGGAGCAGATCTGGGAGATCCCAGATCATGAACTCCCCTGGGAATCCCAGAGCATTCCCAGCCTGGAAGGAGAGCCAAGAACCAACCCAAGCCATTCCTGGGATTCTGGGAGATCCCAGATCAGGAATTCCCCCTGGGAATCCCAGAGCATTCCCAGCCCTGTGAGGTGATTCCCAGCACCTCTGCCCGGGGTTTTTACAAACCCTGAGTGATTTCCTTGCTGCTCAGCAGTGCTTTTATCCAACATTCCCAATGTGAACATCCCAACATCCCCCAGGAAAGGCACGGAGGGGGACACAACCCAGCCAAGGGCAGAGGCTGCTCTGGAACCAGAGCCCAGAGCTCACAGAATTCACAGAATAACAAAATTACTGGGTTGGGAGAGACCTCCAAGACCATGGAGTCCAGCCCAGCCCCAGCACCTCAACTCAACCCCGGCACCCAGTGCCAGTCCAGGCTTGGTTAAACACACCCAGGGATGGTGACTGCACCACCTCCCCGGGCAGAACATTCCAGAACTTTATCACCTTTCTGGAAAAAACTTTTTCCTGATATCCAACCTGAATTTCAGCTCAAGGCTGTGTCCTGTGGTTGTGTCAGTGCCTGCAGACAGAGCCCAGCCCCAGCTGAGCACAGGTATCTTTCAGGGGGTGTAGAGAGTGATGAGGGCACCCCTGAGTCTCCTTTTCTCCAGGTGAGCACCCCCAGCTCCCTCAGGGGTTCCTCTCAGGGCTTGTGCTCCAGACCCCTCCTAAATTGGGGGATTTCTCACCAGTGACAAGCCAAGGGGAAGAATGACCCCCCTGCTCCTGCTGGCCACACCACTCCTGATCCATCCCCGCCCTGCCAGCCGGGATCTCCCATTGCCATGGCAACCGCATCCCTGCCCCGGGCACTGATAACACCGGGAGATCACCGGGCTGGGAAAGGCAGGAATCCATCCCCGGGGAGATCAGGAGAAGGGGAATGAAAAACAGCCCGGAAAACAACAAGCTGGATTGAATGCAGCGCTGGGTCCTGCTCCAGCCCAGCCCGGGGAGCAGCAGACAGCCAGGGATGAAGCTGGGATTAGGATTCCTGTGGATTTTGAGGAAATCTGGCAAGGATTTGAGGCAGCTTTTGCTCAGCCCTGAGTTAGCAGGCAGCAGGGATCTGTCTGTGCCGGGTGTGGGATGAACAAAATTCGGGATTCTCCCCCAGGATTGGGCACCACTTCTGCCCCAGCTCCTGGAGCTGCTCCCTGGGGATGAGGCACTTCAGCCCTTCAGGAATTTGGGATTTGGGATCCTCCCCCGGGATTGGGCACTGCTTTTTCCCCCCAGTTCCCTGGGGAGGAGGAGTTTCAGTCCTTAGGGATTCAAGGCTGGAGGAGGAGGTGTTCTCCCTGCTGGAAAGGATCCAGGATGGGATGCAGGTTTTGGAGGGTGTTGGGAGTGCTGGGCTGGTGCTGCTGCAGTGCCCAGGGTGGGAGTGAGGAGCCCCAGCACTGTCCAGACATGGATTATCCCAGGGATTGATGGAGAGGAGCTGGGAGATCTTAGGAATGGAGCCAACAGGCTGCCAGGGGGGATTGGGCAGGGAACCTTGGGGTCTCTCCTCACTGCTGGCATCCCTCCATCCCTTTATCCACCCCTCCATCGTCTCCCTGCCTGCAGTCTGCACACAATTCCCTGCTGGAATTGCTGTCCCAGGCACACACAGGGATGGAGGAGCTGCTCCCTGGAGCAGGAAAACTCCTCCCCGAGCTGGAGCTCCACAGGAGACTGGGTGGGTGAGGAAACCTAAGGAAAAGCCAGCTCTGGATGCAGCCAGAGAAGTGAGGGGAGGCTCCTCAGGGGCTGCAGCTCTGATCTGGGGGACAGGGACAGCACAAGGGAGGGGCTGGAGCAGTGCCTGGGAGGCTCAGGCTGGATTTTGGGAAAGGATTTTCCCCCCAGAGGGTGTTCAGGCACTGGAACAGCTCCCCAGGGAATGGGCACAGCCCCGAGGCTGCCAGAGCTCCAGGAGGGTTTGGACATTGCTCTCAGGGACAGGGGGGGATTTTGGGGTGTCTGTGCAGGGCCTGGGGTTGGACTGATGATCCCTGTGGGTACCAGAGCCCCAGGAATGTTTGGGCAACACCCTGAAACTGGCTGGGATTGTTCTCATGATCCTTGGGGGTCCCTTAAACTCGGGATATTCCAGGATTCCACACAGAACAGCGCAGGGCACGGCAGGGACCCCTTTCCACCCTCAAAATCCCAAAAAAACCCCCAAAAAACCCCAAAACCCCAGCTCCTGCTCCAGAGGAGCCCCGGGAGGCTGTGGCAGCCCAGACGAGGCAGCTTTTGTGGCTCTGCTAAATCAGGTCAGAGGAGTCTCCCCGGGCAGAGCTCCCGTCTGGCGCCCGCATTAGGGGCGGGATGAGCCCGGCAATTCCCAGGGAGGGAAATTCATCCCTCTGAGCCTGGCAATTCCAGGGAATGGAAATTCATCCCTCTGAGCCTGGCTATTCCCAGGGAATGGAAATTCATCCCTCTGAGCCTGGCTATTCCCAGGGAATGGAAATTCATCCCTCTGAGCCCGGCAATTCCCAGGGAGGGAAATTCATCCCTCTGAGCCTGGCTATTCCCAGGGGATGGAAATTCATCCCTCTGAGCACAGCAATTCCCAGGGGATGGAAGTTTATCCCCCCAGGAGAAGGATCCTGCTCCCAGCAGCCCCACGGCCACCACTGAGTGGTACAGAGCTCATTTGGAGGCCACCAGCAATTCCTGCACCTCCCCAGGCAGGGAGGAAACTCCACAGGGATGTTGGGAAGTGAATCCAGACCTTCCTTCCCACAGCAGCACCGTGCCTGGTTTCCATGGGATCTGCATTCCCCATATTTCCCACCCCACAGCAGGAGAGGGGGTTGGAGTGATCCCACTTCCAGACTGAGGTGAATCTCCCACCCCATTCCATCCCAGTCCTGCCCTAAAAGCAGCATTTCCCCCCAAAACCCCCCGTCCCAAGCAGCAGCACTCGAGCTGCTGCCTTTGGAGCTCATCCCAAGCTGGAAATGAGGATAAATCCTGGAACACCACTAAAAACTCCTGGGAGTGCAGCCTGGCATGGCCCAGCTGCTCTCCAGAGACAGCTGATGGAATTTGGGAGCCCCAGGAGCAGAGCCTGCATCCCCAACCCCGAGTTTGATCCCAAAAAAACCCCCATGGATGATGTGAGAGCTGCCAGTGTTTGGAAAAACCTCGGGAGCTCCGAGTGTTGCTTATATTGAGGCTTTAAAGCAGATTTTGGCAGATGGATCCACCAAGGAGCAGCCCTGGATGCAAACATTCCCTGTCCCTGCAGCTCCCAGGGGTGACAGCCACCCCCCAGCTGGGTCAGGGATTTGGGAAGGATTTGGGGGAAGATTCAGCAGAGTTAAACAAAGGAAGCAATTGGCTGTGCACTGCCAGGAGGCTCCAGGGTCACATCCTGCCTTTCAGAGGGCTGCAGCTTCTGGGGACGAGCTTAAAAAATAAACTGAGCCTTTGTCAGCACCGAAATCAGCCCCGGCCTGCAGAGAGCCCACAGGGAACGGGCACAGGGGAGGGCTGGGACCCTCCCAGGGTTTCCAGGGAAAAGCTGCCAGGATGGCTGGGCCAGCTCTCCACGTGTGCAGCTGCTCCCAGCACCACTGTGGAGAGCAGCATTCCTCCAGGATTTGTCCCAGTGCCCTGGTGCCAGGGCTGGAGAGGCCAATCCCATGGCCAGGCCAATCCCATGGGTGATCCCAGGGCTGTTTTGGGGCCAGCAATGGGAACGGGGATTTGCTCATCAGCTCTGCTCTTTGTGAGTGCAGCAGGATCCGTCCCATCCCATATCCCCCAATCCCATCCCCAATTTCCAGCAGGGAAACAACCACAATCCCAAATCCAGGAACAGCAGCAGATCCCTGGGATCCCAAATCCCAGCTCCAGGAACAGCAAATCCCTCTGATCCAGCAGGGAAGGAATCCCAACCCCAAATCCAGGAGCAGGAACAGCAGATTTCTCTAATCTACCAGGGAAACAACCCCAATCCCAAATCCAGGAACAGCAGCAGATCCCTCTGATCCAGCAGGGAAAGAACCCCAATCCCAACTCTGGGAACAGCAGATCCCTATGATCCAGCAAGGAAAAAACCCAATCCCAAATCAAGGAGCAGCAGCAGATCTCTCTGATCCAGCAGGAAAACAACCCCAATCCCCAAATCCAGGAGCAGCAGCAGATCCCTCTCATCCAGAAGGAAAAGAACCCCAATCCCAGCTCTGGGAGCTGATCCCTGGGATCCAGCAGGAAAAAAAAAAAAAACCCCAATCCCAGCCCTGGGAGAATCCTTCTGATTCAGCAGGAAAAAACACCAATCCCAGCCCTGGGAGCAGATCCCTGGGATCCAGCAGATAAATCCAGGAGCAGCAGCAGATCCATCTCATCCAGCAGGGAAAGAACCCCAATCCCAGCTCTGGGAGCTGATCCCTGGGATCCAGCAGGAAAAAAAAAAAAAACCCCAATCCCAGCCCTGGGAGAATCCTTCTGATTCAGCAGGAAAAAACACCAATCCCAGCCCTGGGAGCAGATCCCTGGGATCCAGCAGATCCCTGTGATCCAGCAGCCCTTGGACAGGGCTGCATCCTGCAGGAACTTTGTCCCCAGCAGGAATCCAGGCAAACCCACAGAGACAAAGCCTGGCCTTGGGGTGGCCCCAAGCTCCAGGAGCAGCTGATCCCAGGGGCCCAGGGAGCAGGGAAGGAGCCCCAGGATCCTGCTCCACTCCCCACCCCAGGCAGCCCCACCACCCAGGGATGGCTCTGGACTGAGAACATCAGAGTGAATATTCACCCAGACTGAATATTCACCTTTGGGCCCTCCCCCAGGATCTTCCAGGTGGGATTTGTGCTGCACAGGGGGATCTCCCTGATCCCTCAGCCTGAGCACAACCAGTCTAATATATATATTATGAAAACCTACATATGAAAACCTACATATGAAAACCTACAAATATAATAAACAGATAAAATAATTTAATATATTTATAAAATATCTATTTAATATAAAATCTCTATAAAATGTGTTTGGGAGCAGCTGGAGCCTGGAACCTGTATGCAGCTTTCCACCACTTTTCATCCGGAAAAGTCTCAGACTTCCCTGGATTTTCCCTTCTCCCACTTTCAGCTCCAAGTGCTCAGGCCAAGAGTCACTGGATGTCACTTCCAGTGAGCCATCAGTCCCTCCCAGTGCCCAGCTGGAGCCAAGGAGGGGACAGGGAGGGGGTGGGGACCGTCCCATCTGCCACCAAGCCATCCCCACACGGCCCCAAAGATTTCTGCCGGATTTATGGCAGGGGGGAATGGCAGGGCTGGAGGAAGCCCAGCCCTCTTCCTCCTGCTCTCCCAGAAGAAAGAAACTCAGGAATTTGGCGGGGAGCCACGGGCTCGAACAGAGAGGACCCTGTTTGCAAAAGCAGCCTCTTCCCTGCCAGGATAAACGTTGCTTTTCCACCCCCTTCTTCCAGGACAGAGGACCTTGTCCCTCCAAATCCAGGAAATTTGGGAATCTGGGCTCCTCCTGGGATGTCCCCAGCCAGGCACAGCTCTCCTGCAGTTTCTGCTGTCCCAGGATCCTCCTGGGAGCAGCTGAGAAGGAGCCAACCCCAAATCCAAGCCTGGAGTTTTCCCATTTTTCCCACATTCAACCCCCCTGGAAAATCCTCCAGCAACTTCCAGCTGCTCCCTTTGCTTTTAGAGAAGGAAAATGGGAAGGACAAAGGATTTTTGGGGGCAGTTTGTGTGCTCAGTGCCGGGCTGGGAAGGGTTAAAGCAGCAGCAGCATCAAAGGGAGCCCCGAGAGAGGGGCTGAGAACCCGAGGTTGCGCAGCCTCCTTGGAATGTCAGGAATTTCCCATTATTATCCCACTTCCCTAGCAGGGAGAGCACAAGAACAGGACCCTAAGCCTGGGGATGGGCAAATCCCACGGGCCACGGGGGGAAAAGTTTTGGGTCAGGACACTCAGAACAGCTCGGGGGGCTCAGCTCTGCCAGGCCAGACCCTCCCTGTGAGGTCCCTGCACACCCCAAAATCATCACCCCCAAAGGCAGAGCCCGCCTGCCTCAGCACACACATCCCCCCCAAAAAGACCCCAAAATTTCCTGCTTTTCCCCTCAAAAAGCTGGAGCTCCAACGGTGCTGTTCCCCCACAAATAAATCAATTTATTTCCAACCAGTTATTTGCATTGTCACCCTGGTGAGACCCTAAGAAATGCCATCCCCCTGCCCAAATTGGAATTTAACAAATTTCCTCCCAGCCCAGCTGAATTCCTGGATTTTGGACAAGCCACAGCCACCCCCAGCACCCAACCCCAGCAAAAACCACCTTAAAAACCCCACGGAAATGGGAGGGTCTGGCCAAGCTCTGCTCTCACCACTTCTCCTTTCAGTGTAACTCAGAAGAGTAAATTTAAAGAGTAAAAGTAAAAACTTATAGAGTAAAATCAGGAATATTGGGAAGAAATGAATACATTAATTATATTTCCTAATTTTCCTTCTAAGGGCTGCCAGTGTAGGTGTAACTCAGAAGAGTAAATTTAAAGAATAAAGTAAAAACTTTAAGAGTAAAATAATGAATATTGGGAAGAAATTAATACATTAATTATATTTCCTAATTTTCCTTCTAAGGGCTGCCAGTGTATAAGAAGCAGCTATAAAAATCAGATTTTAAAGGTGCCTTTTAGATATTAAGAAGCATTTTGGGTCCACAGGGTCCTTCTGGATAAGGGCAAAAAAAAATAAAGGTTGGAAGGGAACATCCAGTGCTCAGGAACAGGTGGAAAGGGCCAGGGAAAAAGGGCCAGAGGAAAAAAAAAAAAAAAAAAAGGGAAAGAAGAGGGAAGAAAAAAGTAAAGGGCCAGAGGGGGAAAAAAAAAAAAGGGGGAAAGTAGAGGAAAGAAAAAAGGGCCAGAGGAAAAAGGGGTCAAGGGGAAAAGAGGCCCAGGACAAAAAACAAACAAACACAAACAAACAAACAAAAAAAAGACCCAGAAAAAAGTGGCCCAGAGGAAAAAAATAAGGGAAGAAAAAAAAAAAAGGAAAAAAAAAGAAAAAAAGGGGCCCTGAGCTCTTGCTCCACCCTGCCCTGCCTCCATCCCCCACACCAAGGATTTCACCTCCCAGGTTTATTTACCTTGGGATTCTTTCCCTGCCAGGAAATTCAGGTGGCTGCACCCAGCCCAGCCCAGTGAGCCCTGTACAAAGGGAATTTCTGGGTCTGCTCCCTCACAAAGGGAATTTCTGGGTCTGCTCCCTGCAAAAAAGGGAATTTCTGGGTCTGCTCCCTGCAAAAAAGGGAATTTCTGGGTCTGCTCCCTGCAAAAAAGGGAATTTCTGGGTCTGCTCCCTCACAAAGGGAATTTCTGGGTCTGCTCCCTGCAAAAAAGGGAATTTCTGCCCTCCCCACACCTGCAGGGCACCAACACCTGAGAGCTCCTCCTGGGGTCAGCTCAGCCCAGCCTGCTCTGGGGTTTTAAAAAAGGGAATTTCTGCCCTCCCCACACCTGCAGGGCACCAACACCTGAGAGCTCCTCCTGGGGTCAGCTCAGCCCAGCCTGCTCTGGGGTTTTAGTCCCTTTTTCCTGCTCAGGCTGGGCCTGGAGAGCAGCCCCCAGAGACCTGGAAAAGCCTGGTTTAATACTGGTACTAACTGGTTTAATACCAGTGTTAACGGGTGTAACACTGGTTTAACACCAGTATTAACTGAGACCCCTCCATCCAAGGCTTCCCTTCCCTCCCAGAAATTCTGCAGATCAGCAGGGAAGGAGCTCCTGGAGAGCTCGGGGTGTCCCACAGAGCCTGTTCCAGGGTGAGGGCTGGAATATCCAGGAGATCCCACAGGAGATCCCATAGCACAGGAGGATCCACAGTGGACCCCACAGGAGATTCCACAGGAGGATCTCCACAGCAGGATCCCCCCAAAAAAATCCCACAGCGGGGACCCTCACAGAAAATCCCACAGCAGGGATCCCCAGAGCAGGATCCCCCAGAAAAATCCCACAGCAGGGATTCCCACAGAAAATCCCACAGCAGGGACCCCCACAGAAAATCCCACAGCAGGGATACCCAGAAGGTCCCCCAGCAGAGATCTCCAGAAAATCCCACAGCAGGCCTCAGAGCAGTGATCCCCACAGAAAATCCCAGCAGGACCCCACAGAAAATCCCACAGCAGGGATCCCCCACAGCAGGATCCCCAGAAGGTCCCCCAGCAGGCCCCATAGCAGGGATCCCCACTGAAAATCCCACAGCAGGCCTCACAGCAGTGATCCCCACAGAAAATCCCAGCAGGACCCCACAGAAAATCCCACAGCAGGGATCCCCCACAGCAGGATCCCCCAGCAGGGATCCCCCAGCAGGGATCCCCACTGAAAATCCCACAGTAGAGATCCCCACAGCAGGGATCCCCCACAGAAAACCCCACAAGCAGGGATCCCCAGAGCAGGATCCCCCAGAAAAATCCCACAGCAGGCCCCACCGCAGTGATCCCCACAGAAAATCCCACAGCAGGACCCTACAGAAAATCCCACAGCAGGGATCCCCCACAGAAAACCCCACAGCAGGGATCTCTAGAGCAGGATCCCCCAGAAAAATCCTACAGCAGGCCCCACCGCAGGGATCCCCACAGAAAACCCCACAGAAGACCCCACAGCAGGACCCTATAGAAAATCCTACAGCTGGGATCCACAGAAAATCCCCCAGCAGGCCCCACAGCAGGGTCCCCCACAGAAAATCCCACAACAGGGATCCTAGAAAACCCCACAGCAGGGTCCCCCCCAGAAAACCCCCCAGCAGCCCCCGCACTCACGCGTTGCAGTACGGCTTCTTCTCGTAGCCCTTGTAGTTCTTCATGTTCAGGGTCATCTTGCAGGTCTCGCAGTGGAAACATGCTTTGTGCCAGAACTGCAACACAAAACCCCGACCGTCAGCACCGGGGACCCCAAAACCCCGCTGGAACCCCACAGTTCCCACCCAGCATGGCAGCCACGCCGCCTGCGACCCCAGAAAAACCAAATTTTCCTTCTGAGAAATGCCAGTGCATGAGGAGCAGCTACAAAAATGGGATTTCCCAGCTCTTTTTTAGATATTAAGAAATATTTTGGCTCAAAGACCAGCCAGGAAAGGGGAGCACAACTCAGGGTCCTTCTGGATAAGGGAAAAAAAAGTTGGTAAAAGGAGCACAGGGAATATCCTGTTAATTTAGGATCAAATCCCATCTTCTCCTGATCTTCCCAATGCATTCATCCCAGCCAGGGGAATTTTTTTTCCTTCCATAAATCCAGGAATTCATGGATAGGAAAAGCTCCTTCTGCAAGTGACACCACAGCAGAGGGAACAGCTGTGTTTGAAGGTTCAAAGCTGCTGCTTTGGTTTTTTTCTTTATTTTTTTTTTTATTTTATTGCTGTTCTTTGCCCGGTGCCAGCCAGAAGAGCAGGTCAGGTGAGGCTGCACGAGCCAAGCAGGAAAAGGTTCTCATGGGAAGCAGACAGAAATCCAAGGTGAAAGACACAGCCCCAAAAATCCAGACCCTGACCCCACACCCTGGGCTCTGACAAACCCTAAAGGGGAGTTTAAAGGTTCTTTTTTAGGGCTGCTCCTAAAGAAATTATTCCCACCTGGCTCTGAGCTGGGAGGAGCCTGAGGAGAACAGCTCAGAGCTGGAGTTAAAGGTTGGATTTGGTAATCTGGGAGTGAAATTATTCTCATTTTGTGATTCTGAGGTCACACAGACCAAGTTCAATGTCCTGCCAGAGTCCAGACTCCACTTTTCCACGAGGATTTGTGGGGTCTGGAGGGAATTCCCAGGGCCCAGAGAGGAATGGGAATTTCCTCCTGGAGCAGGGAAAGCACAGCCTGAAGCAAAACCTTCACCCCTGACAGCCAGCTCTGCCCTAGGGCAACCCCCCAGAAAATCAGGGAAAACCCCACCAAAAGCCCAATTAGCAGCTCCAAGCACTAATTAGAGGACAGGCAAGTATCCTTTAACACTCAGCCACCACACCCAGAGAGCCCAGCTGCTGCTTCTTGCTGGGATTTCCACTTTGAAACCTCCAAGAAGCCAATTCTCCTCTCCAAGCCCAGCCTGGATCTGTGTCCCCGCAGGGAGCCAAGCCCTGCTGTCACCTCCCCTGGTGCCACACCCCGTGCACAAACACTGCCAGGCTCTGGGGACGTGACTCAGCCCTGGAGAGGACAATTTTCCTCCTTTTAATTGCTCTCAGCGATGGATTTGTTCCTCCCCTCTGTTCCAGCTCCTCCAGCTGCAGGGGCTTTGCTCCTCCATCCTTTCCCAGGGTGGTTTTGCCCCTTCCCAGATTTTGGGCTCCTGCAGGATGGATCAGCAGCTGTGTCCTGAGTTTTTGGGGCTGTCCTGGGGGGTGAAGGGCCCTTTCCAAGCCCGAGGGATGAACTGAGAGCCAGCACAGCTCCAGAGCCTTCTCCTCAAGGAATGTCCCAGCTCCCAGGAGGATCTGGCACAGCCAGCAGATCCTTGGGGTCCAGCAGGGAACAACCCCAATCCCAAATCCAGGAACAGCAGCAGATCCCTCTGATCCCAATCCCAAACCCAGGAACAGCAAATCCCTCTGATCCAGCAGGGAACCCTCATCTCAGAACCAGGAACGGCAGCAGATCCCACTGATCCATCAGGGAAATAACCCCAATCCCAAATCCAGGAACACAGCAGATTCCTCTGATCCCATTCCCAGCTCCAGGAGCAGCAGCAGATCCCTGTGATTCAGCAGATGCCTCTGATCCCAATCCCAGCTCCAGGAGCAGCAGCAGATCCCGGGGATCCAGCAGATCCCTCTGATCCCAATCCCAGCCCCTAGCAGGACGACGCTCCCAGGCAGGCCCTGCTCCCATCCCAGAGCATTCCCAGCAAATTCCCACCCCAATTCCCACCAGGGATTGCTCAGCAGGGTCATTCCAAGCCCAAGGCTCTCCCCAAGGGATCTGCAATCCCTTGGGAAGTGCCCACAGAGCACTTTTCCCTGTCCTCAGCCTCGCTGCCACAGCTCTGTGTCACAAAGGGAGTGGAATTAATGCTGGATCCACAAAATCTGAGGCAGCACTAAAAGGAGGCTGGAGCACGGCTGGACACAGGGGAGCAGGAGTTATTTTGGCTTCCAGGAACGTTCTGCTCGCCCTGGAGAAAGAGGACAGGATCCAAACGGGGTTTTGGAGGAGCATGAACGCCCTGTGCTTCCCAGTCCTGAGCCTGGAGGTGATCCCAGGTGATCCCACATCCCAGCAGGCTGGACAGGATTTATTTCTAAGTGTGAACACACATTTTGGAAACTCTTCTGACCGACATAACCTCAGTGGAAAATCACAAATTTAAAGGAAAACAGCTCTAAAACTTTCCAGATTATCCAGGTGAGCGGGTCAGAGATAATCCATGCTGGGGAAACGAAGGATTCCTTGGATTTCTAATCATGGAATGGACCTTCAGCTCATCCAGTGCCACCTCCTGCCATGGGCAGGGACATTTTCCACAGTCCCAGGCTGCTCCAAGCCCTGTCCAGCCTGGATTTGGACACTTCCAGGGGCAGCCACAGCTGCTCTGGGTCCCACCAGGCAAAGCCTTTGCACCACACCTGGAATAAACCCCATAACCTGGAGTAAACCCCACAATCTGGAGCAAACCCCACAACCTGGGGGGCAAACCCCACAGCCTGGGGACCCCAGGATTTGAGGACAACACCCAGATGAGCCCCCTGAGCTGGAGGAGACGAGCCCTGGGTGAGGCTCAGGGCCCTGCTCAGCTCGGGGTGAGCCCAGCCCAGCCCTCGGGTGTCACTTCCCCTACGGAAACCAGAGCCAGCAGTGGCACTGTCCCCGTGGGGGCAGGGACAGCCATGTCCCCAACGCTGTCCCCAAAGCCACTCGGGGCACGTCAGGGCTGTGGGGAGGTGGTCACGCTCTGGGTTTTCCAGCAATCCCAAAGGGAAGCGGAGTCTCCCTGGTTCTGGAAGCAAAGCCACATCCCAGACACCCCAAGGTTGGGGCTGTCCCCTCCTCCTGCCAGCACGGCCTGGCTGTCCTTTGGACTGTGCCCGGGAAGGCAGGGACAGGGAAAAGCAGGGACAGGGAAAAGCAGGGACAGGGGCACCCCAAAAGCTGGAAAAAGCAGGGACAGAGGAATTCCAAGGGTCAGGAAAAGCAGGGACAGAGGAACTCCAAGGGCCAGGGAAAAGCAGGGATAGAGAGAGAGGGATTCCAAAGGCCAGGAAAAGAAGGGACAGAGGAATTCCAGCAGGGACAGAGGCACTCCAAGGGTCAGGAAAAGCAGGAATAGAACTCCATGGGCTGGGAAAAGCAGGGACAGAGGAATTCCAAGGGCCAGGAAAATCAGGGACACAGGAATTCCAGCGGGAACAGAGGCACTCCAAGGGCCAGGAAAACCAGGGACAGAAGAATTCCAACAGGGACAGAGACACTCCAAGGGCCAGGAAAAGCAGGGACAGAGGAATTCCTAGGGCCAGGAAAAGCAGGGACAGAGGAATTCCAGCAGGGACAGAGGCACTCCAAGGCCTGCCCGCGGTTTTGTGGGAACTGGGGCAGCGTTCCGGGAAAAGGGCAGCCGGAGGCGCTGCGGGGCGGGGAGAGCACCGCGAGCGGCCGTGCCCCGGCCCTTCGGAAGAGGAAGTGGGTGAGGAGCCCGAGCAGGACAAGATGGTGACTGCGGGCTCCTGTCTGCTCCCCACAGCTGGAACAGACCCTCCCCTGATCCCCACAGCTGGAACAGACCCTCCCCTGATCCCCACAGCTGGAACAGACCCTCTCCACAGCTGGAACAGACCCTCCCCTGCTCCCCACAGCTGGAACAGACCCTCTCCACAGCTGGAATACACCATCCCCTGCCCCCACAGCTGGAACAGACCCTCCCCTGGAGCTCACGAAGGCTCATCCCCTTCCCCCCCGGCAATCCTGGGATCCCCCTTCCCTCCCAGTCAGCCTCGATGCCGACACTCCCCTCCCAGTCATCCCCAATCCCAGCACCCCTTTCCCCTTCCTGTTAGCCCCAACCCCAGCACTGCCCTTTCCCTTCCAAATATCCCCAGCCCCAGCACGCCTTTTCCCTTCCAGTTATCCCAAAACCCTTCCCTTCTAGATATCCACAACTTCCAAACCCCTTTCCCTTCCAAATATCCACAAATCCCAAACCCCTTTCTCCTCCAAATAGCCACAATCTCAAAGCCCCTCTCCCTTTCCAAATATCCACAACCCCCAAACTCTTTTCCTTTCCAAATATCCACAACCCCCAAACCCTTTTCCCTTCTTAAGTATCCACAAATCCCAAACCATTTTCCCTTCTAAATATCCACAAATCCCAAACCCTTTTCCCTTCTTAAATACCCACAAATCCCAAACCCCCTTCCAAATATCCACAAACTCCAAACCCTTCCCTTCCTTTTACCCACACCCCCCAAATCCCCCTCCCCTTCCAGTTATCCCCCAACCCCTTTTCCCTTCCTATCATCCCCAATCCCAACACCCAGCAGCTCCTGGAGGCTCCCAGGGCCCAGAGCCACTCACAGCCCCAAATCCCGGGATTTAGGGGTGACACTTCAGCCCCGAGCCATTCCCGGCCTCAGGAAGAAGCATCATCCCTTAAAAATGCGAGCAGCAGGGTCTGCCGGAGCTCAGGAATGCCGCTGGAGAGCGGAGCGTTCTTCCCAGTTACTTTTTTTAGTCCCTAAACTGGTTGTCCCAGAAGCCTGGGAGAGGAGGGGGAGGAGAGTGAAGGGAAATCCCATGGGAAGAGCAGCAGGAATGGAGCCCCACCATCACCTTCCCCACCTCCAGCTTCCACCAGAGCTTTTGGTTTTGAGGGGGAAATACTCCAAAAAAAAAAAAATTCCAGGTTAAGGGAGGCAGCCCCGGAGTGTAGGGATGGGATTTTTGGAACAGAGAAGTAGCAACTGGGATGGAAGATTTGGGAAAAAAAAAAAAAAAAAGAAAAGGGGAAAAAAAAAAGGGAAAAAGCTCGATCGTGGAAACCAGATGAGGCTCCCGGCTTCAGGGAAGCGTTAACTGTTGCTTTCCTTGGGCCTCCACACGGATGTGCAGCCTTTGAATGGCAGATATTCCAATAAATAAAAATATTCGCTGTGGAAGGAAGAGCTGGGGATGCTCTGGGAGCCCCCAGGGCAAAGAGCTCCATCCCTGTCCCCTCCCTGCGGGACCCTCGGGACACCGGGGGCTCCCGGGACCCCCAGGACATGGGGTGGGTGGGGGGGAGCCTGGAAATACCCCCGGGAAAGGGGGGTGGGAGGAACCCAGATCCCCTGGGATCCCCCCACGACAATGGGGGTCCCACCGCGAGGGGATCCAGCGTGGAAATACCCCCGGGAGAAGCGGGGTTGGGAGTGGGAAGCGTGGAAATATTCCCGGGAATAGGGCGGGGGGGGAGAGCCGCGTCCATAAGGAAGTGCCACCCGCGGAGGGGCTGGAATGCTGCCGGAGACCCCCCCAAAAAAACCCGAATACAGCAGAAACCCCCCCAGGAATAGCGGTGAGGAGAAAAACCATCCCGCCCAGAGGCGATCCCATGGGGGAAAAAAAAAAAAAAAATAAAAAAACCCACCCGAATACAGCAGAAACCCCCCCAGGAATAGCGGCGAGGAGAAAAACCATCCCGCCCAGGGGCGATCTCATGGGGGAAATAAAAAAAAAAAAATATCAAAAAACCCAAATCCTGGTCCCGCTCCCCACGTGCGACCCCGCGGCGCTCACCTTATCCAGGCAGTTCACCTTCTCCGTGGGATACACGATCTTCCCGCAGCGAGCACAGTTGGGGTTCATGGCGGAAAACTCGCGTGGAGGGAGGGGGAAAAGGAGGAGGGGAAAAAAAAAAAAATCGCGCCCACCCTCCTCCGCCGCCTCCTCCTTGCACTGAGCCGCCGCCCGCGGTGTCGCGACTTTAAATAGCCGGGAAGGGGAGGAGGCGGCGGGGAAGGGAAAGGGGAGGGAGCGCGGGGGTGGGGCGCGCACCTACGCCTGCGTGCACACGTAACGCGCGTGTGCGCACCCCTGGGGAGGCAGCGCCGAGACGAAACTCCCCCAAAAAGGGCCAAAACGGCGTAAAAAACGCGAGAAATTTACATTGAGGGCGCGGCGGGATTCGAACCGGAGGCCTTTGGGTCCGCCGCGCCAGTAGAGGGGAGTGCTGGCGGCAGCACGCGGCGGGCGGGGGTATAGCTCAGTGGTAGAGCATTTGACTGCAGATCAAGAGGTCCCCGGTTCAAATCCGGGTGCCCCCTCACAGAGCTTTTTAATATTTTTATTCTTTTTTTTAGTTTTTTTTTTCGGGTTTTTTTTTCGTTTTTTTTTGTCGTTATTTCCGGGGGATTGGGGGGTGTTTGAGGCGGGCGGGCCGCATTTGCGCGCGCAGCCCCCATTCCATACACAGAACGGGGAGCTACGCCTGCGCAGAATGAGCTCTAAAGCAACACCCAGCGACCGCTTTACGGCAGTGGGGGTATAGCTCAGTGGTAGAGCATTTGACTGCAGATCAAGAGGTCCCCGGTTCAAATCCGGGTGCCCCCTTGTTTTGTTTTATTTTTTCTTTTCCCTCCCTTTATCCCAAGTTTTCTCACCCGGTTTATCCCCGCTCGCTCTTTCCGTCCCCGCCGCCCCCTCCCGGTGCTCCCGGTGCCGGTGAGGGTGTCGCTTTTCCCGCCGCCGCTAGGGGGCGCGGCGCGAGGCGGGGCGGGCGCCTCACGCCACATCCGCCGCCTCTTCCGCCGCCAAGATGTCGAAGCGAGGTGAGGCGGGCGCCGCTCTCCGCCGCCATCCGGCTCCATCCGCCGCCATCCGGCGTCCCCGTGGCCGCCTCGGCGCAGCGGGGACCCGGCGAGAGGCGCCTGAGCCCGGGCGGCAGCGGATGTCGCGGGCGGTGTCGCCGGCGCCCTCCCCGCGAGGCCGCGGCCGCTCCGTGAGGCGGTGCCGGTCCCTTAACGCTCTTCTCGACCCGCAGGACGCGGAGGTTCGTCCGGGGCCAAGTTCCGCATCTCCCTGGGTCTCCCGGTGGGGGCCGTGATCAACTGCGCCGACAACACCGGTGAGTGAGGGGCTGGAACGGCGGGGCGGCCGGAGGGACGGCCGGGAACCGGGGGAGCCCCTCGGGAACCGGGGAGCCCTTCAGGAAACGTGGGAGCCCCTCGGGAGCCGGGAGAGCCCCTCGGGAAAGGCCCCCTCAGTAACCCGAGGCTGAGGTGTTCCCTGAATCCCCAAACCTCCCTTTTCCTTTCCTCTCCCTGGGCCCGCGGCCGTGGCGGCGCTGCGGGCCGTCCCTGCGCTGGGACGTGTCCCGGGATAAGGGATATCCCGGGATAAGGGATATCCCGGGATAACGGCGGCGCCGCTCTCCGCAGGGGCCAAGAACCTCTACATCATCTCCGTGAAGGGCATCAAGGGCCGCCTGAACCGGCTGCCGGCGGCCGGCGTGGGTGACATGGTGATGGCCACGGTGAAGAAGGGCAAGCCGGAGCTGAGGAAGAAGGGTGAGTGCCCCGATCGTCGCGGGAATCGGGGACAGAGTCACCGAGTGACCCCCCCACCCTTCTCTAAAGCACTCGTTGGGTCCTGCCGTGGCTCAGGGAGTTGTCGTGGAAGGGCAGAGCAAAGGCGCCGCTTTTGGGTGAAGTGGCAGCTGCTGGTGCTGTTGATTTCAATCAGCGGTGGGACAGAGGGTTTGGCAATCCTGGATTGGGCTGGGTGGGAAGGGACTTCATCCCATCCATGGGCAGGGACACCTTTCACTGCTCCAGGTGGCTCCAAGGCCTGTCCAGCCTGGCTTTGGACACTTCCAGGGACAACCACAGCTCTGGGTACCTGTGCCAGGCAGGAATTCTTCCCTAAATCCCCTCCTCAATCCAGCTGTCCATCAGTAATAGGAGAGTGATGTCACATGGATCTGTAAATTTAAAAAAAAATTAAAAATTATGGATTATTTGTGTGGGAAAGAACCTTAAATCTCATCCAGGTCCACCCCCTGCCATGGGTTTGCTCCTGCTCCAGAGGAGTTTTTGCTGAATATTGTTTGTGAATTAATTCCTCCAAAATAAAGGTGCAAAAGTGGGAAAACCCTGGATTTTCCAGGTGTAGATGCAGCTGCAGGTATTTCATGGTCACTTTTAAGGGGAGTGTTGACTACAAAGTGTAACTTTTTAGTAAAACACCACAAATACAAGGTGCAAAACAAAACCCACCCCGAATGTGGGTTTGATTCCTGTGGGATCCATGTGCAATGTGTGTTTTTCCTGAGGGCTGTGCCACTTTTTCCTCCCTCCCAGTGCACCCAGCAGTGGTGATCAGGCAGCGGAAATCCTACAGGAGAAAAGATGGGGTGTTCCTGTACTTTGAGGACAACGCAGGAGTGATTGTAAATAACAAAGGGGAAATGAAAGGTGAGCCTGGGAATTGTCCCCCACGGGGGTTGGCATTGCCACAGCGGGGAAAGGACTCAAGATTCCCCTCAGAGAGTGGAATTTTGGCTGGGAAGTGCTGCCCTGAGCTATCTGTGAGCTCTAAATCACAGAATTCCAGATGGGTTTGGTTGGAAGGGAGCTCAAAGCTCATCCCAGGGACATCTCCACTATCCCAGGGTGGCCCTGGACACTTCCAGCTTCTCTGGGAATTGCATCCCCTCCTCTCAGGGGGCAGCCTCGCTGACCCTGTGGTGTTGTCCCTGTTTTCCAGGCTCAGCCATCACGGGTCCCGTGGCCAAGGAGTGTGCAGATCTGTGGCCCAGGATCGCCTCCAACGCCGGGAGCATCGCCTGATCCCGGTCCTGCCCCTGGCCAGGGACACAGAATAAAACTCCTTGTACCAACCCCGTGGTGTTTTCATTCCAGACAGGAGCAGGGTTGTGCTGGGGGTTTTTTATGGAGCTCCATCTGGAAAATGGGATTGGGGGGATTTAACAGTTGTTTTTCAGGCAGGTTCCTGAAGAATTCCTGGGGTGGCTCTGATTTTAGTGACCCTGAATTGATGAGGGGAGCTGGGAGGGGTCTGTGCCTTTGTGCTGGTGCTCCCAGAACTGGAGAATTCCCAGAATTTTCTTCCAGAATGAGCAGTTTAACTGTTCAGAGTGAAACAGTGCCTGAGGCTGAGCTGCAGGACAGAGGGACCTGAGGGATGGATGTCCCTTGGCTGGGGACATGGGGGGCACTGCTGTCACCTGGGCTGAGCTTGGGAACGTGCAGGAGCAGAGTGGGAAGGGATGTCCAGGGAAGAGCTTGGGCTGTTCCTGGAGCAAAAGGAGGAATGGTTTGGGTGGGAGCTGTGATTCCCTGGCCCGCAGGATGGCGGATCCTCATCCCCGGGCCCGCAGGTGACAGTGGGGTGGTTTTGGGGCCTGGAATGCCTGACCCCAAGTCAAGGGGCAGGAAAGGGGGCAATTCCCAGCTCCAGCTGGCACCGAGCTGTTCCCTGCTGCACTTCTGGAGATTCCTGATGATTCCATGCCATTCCCAGTGTTCCTGTGCCATTCCCGATGCCTTTTGTGCCATTCCCTACATTCCTGTGCCGTTCCCGTGCCTTTCCCGATGCCTTTTGTGCCATTACCAATGCCGTTTGTGCCATTCCCGACGTTCCCGTGCCGTTCCCGATGCCATCTGTGCCATTCCCGATGTCCCTGTGCCGTTCCCGATGTTCCCGTGCTGTTCCCGATGCCCTTTGTACCATTCCCGATGTCCCTGTGCCATTCCCGACATTCCCGTGCCATTCCCGATGCCGTTTGTGCCATTCCCGACATTCCCGTGCCGTTCCCGACGCTCCCGTGCCGCGCTCCCAGCGGGAAGGCAGCGACACCTCCCGGATTCAGCAGCACCATCCACGGGAAGGCTGCACAACCCCCGGCCCTGCTTCGAGCGAGGTTTTTAAACCTCTCTGACCACTCCCACCACATCCCTGGATATTCCTGGATATTCCTGGATATCCCAGAGCCGGGTGCAGGCAGCAGGGGCAAACTTGGCCAAGGATTTGCACATCCCGAGGGTCACTCCCTCTCTTCTCCACGGGATTTTGGAGCAGGAGAGTTCATGGATCATTCCCTGGAGCCCTGGCAGGGCCCAGCGCTGCTTGGGGTGTGATCCCAACATCCCAAACCTGCAGCTGGAGGGGATTTCTGTCTTCCCAAGCAGTGGCCATCATTCCAGAGGTGGAGGCAATGCCTAAGATTTTAGTTTTTATATTTTTAAAATTCCGTGCTGCTTTAATGTGTGGGTCTGGGCTTCACATCAGGGGATGGTGAGCTCTGCACAGAGCAGTGAGACGAAATTCCTGCTCCAGCTGGGGACCAAGGACAAATAATCCAAATCTCACCCCAAGAGCAGAAACAACGTGGGCTGGAGAGAGAAAAACAAGGATGGGACTGCATAACCTAAAGCTGGAATTGGACAATGAACTCCAATATGCAAAATGGAGCAGAACTGATAAAAGTGAAAGACCCTGCGACTGGTGGAGCATTTTGTGACCATTTGAGACTCATTTTGTGACCATTTTGGGCTCATTTTGTGACCATTTTGGTTCCCCTTGGGTGCAGCCCTGGCTGGGCTCTTGTGCTGCCCAAGGTGGATCCATTGAGGAGATCCTTTGAATAAATCCCTAATTTATTCTGTAGCTCTGGTCTCAGTTCTAGCTCAGCCTTCTCAAGGCATCACAAGGACCTGCTCTGTGTAAAGAACCACCCCAAAAAAGCCCAAATAAAACCCCAATAAATCTGTTCTTGTGGATCAGTTTTGACATTCCTGCTTTGTGAAGGATTTCTCCACAGCTTCCAGAGCTGGATTAAACATTTTTGGGGGGGATTTTTGGTGATGCAGTAATTCCTGAGCCAGGCTGGGCACACCCTGAGGCCACACAGAGCCTGTGGTGACATTTTGAAGTCACTGCTGGAAGTGTC